AGATTTTATTTGCAGAGAGGGGAAGGGAGGGAGAGAGAGGGAGAGAAACATCCATGTGTGAGAAAAATACTCATTTGTTGCCTGTCGCACATCCCAAACTGGGGACGGGGCCATAACCCTTGTGCCCTGACTGGGAATCGAACTGGCAACCTTTGGGCTCGCAGGTCAGCCCTCAATCTGCTGAGTCACACCAGCCAAGGCTCTTGATTGTATTTATTTCATTTTAGAGAGAGGGGAGGGAGGAAGAAAGAGGGAGAGAAAACATCAATGTGTGGTTGCCTCTCACGCGCCCCCTACTGGAGGGTCTGCATCCCAGGCATGTGCCCTGACTGGGAATCAAACCAACAACCTTTCGGTTTGCAGGCCGGCACTCAATCCACTTGTTAATAAGCCTTTCTCACTTGGCAATGCTGGGATAGATACCAAGGCATTTTTTTTCCTCTGCAAAATTCTATTTTGGGTTGCACAACATGGTGAATGCAATTAATGTACGCTTGAAAATTGTCAAAATGGAAAATTGTATGTTACATATTTTTATCCCTATTTTTTAAAATTAATAATGTAATATGCTGAAAACCATCAAATTGTACACTTTAACAGGTGCATTGTAGGGTGTGTGAGTTACATCTCAGTAAAGCTGTTACAAAGGTCCTATTTTGAATGTCAAAACTTGAATATGAATTTCTTTTTCTTTGATCTTCTTGGGTAACAACCTACTTCACTCTCTCTCCCACCTTCCAGTCACAACAAAGGGATTGTTCAGGGTCAAGGTCAGGTGTGAAGAAAGGCAAGAAGAAAAGAGCATTAATATTTTGCTTAAATATTTTCACTAAGCATTTATGAATAGATCTCTCCCTTGCTTACTAAAAACAAAACAAAACAAAAAACCAGCATCCTGACTGGTGTGGCTCAGTGGGTTGAGTGTTGTCCCGCAAGTCCGAAAGGTTGCCAGTTCAATTCCCAGCCAGGGCACCTGCCTGGGCTGTGGGCCAGATCCCTGGTTGGGGGCATGCAAGAGACTACCAATCAATATTTCTCTCTCCCTCTCTTTCTCTCTTCCTTCCCTTCCCTCTAAAAATAAATAAAATCTTTTTAAAAATCCCCAGCATATTATGCACATTGTTTTGTACCCTCCTTTTTATAAAAAAGACTATTTTCTCTTTTTTTAAGATTTTATTTATTTATTTTTAGAGAGGGAAGGGAGGGAGAAAGAGAGAGAGAAAGATCAATGTGTGGTTGCTGGGGGCCGTGGCCTGCAACCCAGGTATGTGGCCTGACTGGGAATCAAACCTGCGATGTTTTGGTTCGCAGCCCGTGCTCAATCCACTGAGCTACGCCAGCCAGGGCTCACTTTTTGATGAAATGAATCAGCAAGACGTCCTTAGCTTTGCAAAGAAATGTGTTTTCTCAAGCACGGACGTTACACATTTTTCTTGTGTCTGACTTTATAAATCCCTACCTCAGTTTTCAGCAGAGCTGCATGAAACTGACAAGGGGCGTGGGCATAACACCAGGGGAATTCATAGAACAGTGGTTCTCCAACCTGACTTTTGTAAATCGGATAGCAGTAGAAGTCAAGGTTGGGAGACAGACACTTGGTCTTCACTGCTGGACCCCCCAGTGCCTGGCACAGTGCCTGAGACACAGCAGGGGTTCAGAAAATATTTGTTGGATAAGTGCATGAATGAATTTTGCTCTGATTCCTGGTGAAACAACAGCGCTAGTAAAAGTAGGTGTAATTGTGAAAATAGGAAAAAAATAGCATAGTGAAAATGAAGTCTGATGTCTTCTTTATAGAGATTATTGTACTCATGGACTATCTCCTAGGAGTTAGGTTTTTAATCATTACCCATCTACCATGGTTCAGGAATTTTTAAAAAATTATTTTTAATTTAAAGAGTGTTCTTGTTATGACAGCTTTTGTTCCGTGTTTTATTTTAAAAGCTCTGTAAATCCTTACATCTTAGAGCAGTTTACACAGCACTCCAGCCGGTTTCACACTGTTCACCAACCTCAAGTCCTACACTTCTTTTAAAAGGGAGAGCAATGGCCCTGGCTGGTGTGGCTCAGGGGACTGAGCGTGGGCTGTGAACCAAAGGGTCGCTGGTTCGATTCCCAGTCAGGGCACATGCCTGGGTTGCCGGCCGGGTCCCTAGTGGGGGCCACGGGAGAGGCAACCACACTTTGTTTCTCTCTTCCTTCCCCTCTCTCTAAAAATAAATAAAGTTAAAAAAAAAAAACTAGAGCAGTGAATGAGTCAACGATCCTTGCTCTGTTGCAACTTACCTTCCAGTAGGGGTGGAGAAACACAGGTGATAATAATGAACCTGCTGCACAGCAGAAAACCAGCAGACAGAATAATGACTGTTTCTACTCTCCTAATGAGAGTAGGAACAGACCACAAACACTTATCGAGTTGCAGAGAATATCCTCTACTCATTTTGTTCGAGGATCTTAACTACCTTATACCATTTTTTAATGATATATGTCAGTCATGAGTGTTGCTCTTTTTTTTTCAAAGATTTTATTTATTTATTTTTAGAGAGGGAAGGGAGGGAGAGAGAGAGAGAGAAACATCAATGTGTGGTTGCTGGGGGTCATGGCCTGCAACCCAGGCATGTACCCTGGCTGGGAATCGAACCTGTGACACTTTGGTTCACAGCCCGCGCTCCATCCACTGAGCCACGCCAGCCAGGGCTCCTTATACCATTTTTTAAAAAGATCAAAGTAATGCATGCACAAAATGTTTATTTTTATTTTTTTTAAAGATTTGATTTACTTTTAGAGAGAGGGGAAGGGAGGGGTAAAGAGAGGGAGAGAAGCATCAGTGTGAGGGAGAGACATCAATCAGCTGCCTCTCGCACGCCCTCCGATCGGGGGACCTGGCCTGCAACCCAGGCACGTGCCCTGACTGGGAATCGAACCTGTGACCTTTTGGTTTGCTGGATGATGCCCACCCCACTGAGCCACACCAGTCAGGGTCATGCACATAATTTTAAAAAAATTAAGTATATCAGGATTTATGATGAAAAGCATCATTGTTCTGTCCCCTACCCCCTTCCCCAGAGACCACTAATTTTTTTGCGTTTTGCTCTTCTGGTGGTTAACTTCCATCTCTCTAAAAAATAGAATTACATTGGCATTTATTTATCATTGCAGATGTTGTCTGTCGATCTCTTGTTTGACTCAAGCGCCACACCTCTCTCCCTCGACAGCTCTGCCACTCTTTGCAGTCACCCCTATTGCTTGCATTAATAACACGATCACAGGTGTTTACCCACCTTCCCACTGTGTAGCAGGAAGCTTTGGGAACTCCCTCCTGCCTTGCTTCTGCCACTTCCCTCCGTTTTCCAGAGTTTTATTTCCCTGGAGCTGTTCTAACACTTTCCCCGAAGAGCCCAGTGGTTGCAGGTGCCATGGCAGGTGCGCTGAGGGCGGGGCAACTTTAACCCTAACACGGGCACCCCCCAACCCCCGTGGGGCTGGAACAGATGCCCCAGTAGTAGTGTTGGGGGTCGGCCTTGATCACCACATTTAAGGAGGCACCAAAAATTGTACTTTAATGCAATATTAAAAAAATAAAAATTAATGCAAACAAACTCGTGAGGCACAAAATCTTGGCATTTCAAAATAAAGACGGGTTCAGCAGAGTGAGCAGGGCAGAAGGGAAATAAACAGACTTGTGCGCGGCTGCACCCCGCCTTCGTTAGCAGCGGCCCGGGCCTCACGCCACGCACCTGTGGTTATTACACAAGTTGCGGATCAGAGCCGGGAAGTGTTCAGGTGGGGCGGGCGGGGGTGTGCCTTTCTGTTGAGGAATTCCGATACTGGGTTTCAGGGGTGCCTCCATCCCTTTGACCTCGGAGCTTGCAAACCAGAGCGATGCTGACTTAGGAAATGGCATTTTTTTGTGACTCAAAAACGCGAATCGAGGGGAGGGGCCCCCAGAGCAATTCACTTTGTCCAGAATTTCGTTGCCTTTCCACTGCAGTTCCCTCCCCCTGCTCTGTGCGTGCCTGCCGGTCCAGGCAGCAGCCTGCTCTGAATAAAGGTCAGCAAACGGGTCACTGTCCCGATTATTCTCCTTTACCCGGCAGAAGGAGGAAGCCGGGCCCCCTTATCCGCCACGGAGTCGCTGCAAAATCCTGGGCTTCCCCGACAGCTGCAAATCCCTCGGAGAAGCTGCAAAGCTTCTGGGGTTGCCATGGTCCGTGGGAGTGAAATGCTGGCCGCCCCTACTGCACCAGCCCCGAGCGGGCTGTCGCTGTCACCCCTCCAGACCCTTTCCAAAGCTTTTAAAAGAGATCCAGGGTGGGGGAGGGTCGGGGAACGGGACGCTAACCAGGGCTTCCGTCCAAGCGGCTGGGGCGAATCAAAGAGGCCTTTCTCAAACTAACAGAGCAAGTGCCTAGCTCGGTTCAAGGGATTTTTAGCCCTCGGTCTTTCCCGGTGCTTCCCAGGCTTCCTCTGCCGCGGGCAGCGCTTTCCCAGCGACTCGTCGCCCCGATCTCTCCCCGGAGGGCCCGAGGATGCCCCCTACCCCAAGCCTGCGGTGCGCAGCTCCTCCCGGCTTGTTTCAAAGGATTTCTCCTCTACGGTGGTCGGGAGGGACGAGGCGGAGGTGCGGGGTGGGGAGACCGAGCCGCGAACGGCGAGGCTGGGGTCCCGGCCGCCTGGAGCCGCGGGCGTGCGCAGCCCCCCCGCCCCCCCGCCCCGGGCGCACTTTCGGAGACGCGGAACTGCGAAGACGCGAAGACGCGCGCGCGGGCGCAGGCCGCTCGGGGGCCCTCGCAGCTCCCTCCCCACGTGGGCCCGCGGGCGGGCGCGGGGTCCCGGCTCGCCTACCCCGGGGCCGCGGTGGGTGCGGACAAAGCGGCGGCGGCGGCGGCCGCGGGGAGTCGGGCGCAGGACTCGGGGCGCCCGGCCCGGCCGGGGGCGGGGCGCGCGGGGAGGAGCCGCCGCGGCGTCTTCTGCTGGCGGCGCGCGCCCGCCCGGCCCCGCGGCGGCGGCGGCGGCGGCGCGTCACGCTTTCCCCCTCCCCGCCCCGAGCCGACGAGCCGGGAGGCGGTGGCGGCTGCTGCTGCTGCGGCGGCGACGGAGGTGCAGGTGTCGGCGGCCGGCGACGACGGAGGCGGCGGCCGGCGGTGAGCGAGCGCGGCCCTCTCCCTTCCCCGTGCCCTCTCCCCCCGCCCTCCCGCCATGCGGGGCCCGCGCCGGGCCGCCCGACGCCGGGAGGGGGGCCGAGCCCCGCGAGCCGGGCCGCCCCGGAGGGGCCGCGGGAGCCCCGGGGGGACGGCCCTGGAGGCCGGCGGTGCCCGGGGCGCTCCCCGGGAGAGCGGGGAAAGTGGCCGGCCCTGCGAGCGCCGCGCCCGGCCTTCCCTCCCTCCGCCCGCCTCAAGATGGAGCTTGGACTCCTTGCCCTGCGCCGCCCCGGGCGGCGCGCGCTGCCGGCGCCCGGCTCCCCTGCGCTCGGCCCGGGGGGGTCCGCGCGGGGCCCGACCTGTTGCCCCCGGGCGCTGCCGCCGCCGCGCGGGCGCCCGAGCGTTCCCCGAGCCCTTGGCCCCGGCGCCCGCGAGCCGGAGCGGAGGGCACCCTGGCGTGGCCTCCGTGGCGGGCGCCGGCCGGCGGTCTGGCCCCGGCCTGGCTGGTGGTGGCTTTGTCCCCGCACCCCTTCCCTGTGGGACTGTGATTCTTGCAGAAGGTGGATGATAAGCGGTGACAAGGATTTTTGAAATAACACCGCGGCTCTGTAACCCGAACCTTCTGCCCGGGCAGGGGATTGGCTCGGAAGACGGATGACACTTGTTCCGGGGTTATTTTAAAAGCAGAGCCTTCCGAGTCCTCTCCTTGGGGGGGGGGCTGGGCTCCAAAAACCTGGTTTGGGTTGGGGGATTAAATCCCCAGCTCGACTGTCCTCTTCCTGTGGCTTTTCCATCTGGCGGGGACCGAGCGCCACCCCCCCTCCTCCCGCCGCAGCCCCACCTCTGTGGCCGGAAGAAATGACACGTTACGGCTGCAACCCTTCTAGATACCTGTTTTTAGCCAAACTTGGGGACCAATGACTGTATTTAAGAAGGAGGGTGGAAAAAATGCTGCAATCTAATTTTTGTGTGTGTGTTCAGCGTCGCCTTGCTGGTGTAGGTTAGGACAGTGCCTGCCAGCGAGACCCCAGTGAGGACCGTGTTGCTGCCGCGGTTCAGGTTGCTGTTCCAGTTGGTGTTTCTGTTTTATTATTATTACTGTTACTTAGACTGTCCATGAGTCCGGAGACCAGTCTTTGACTTTGGGTTTTTTGTTTGTTTGTTTTTAATTGACGAGAGAAAGATGGAAGCATCGATTTGCTGTCCTACTTATCTAGGCATTCCTGCCTGTGCCCTGACCCAGGATGAAACCTGCAACCTTGGTGTGTCCACAGGAGGTTCCTAACCAACTGAACTACCCAGCCAGGGCTGCCTTTGGCTTTTCTTAAATTCTTTTTTTCAGGTACACTTGATATTCAATATTATATAGTCTTTGACTTTGGCTTTTAATGGTAACCTTTTGCAAAAATCCTCAGGTATGTTGCTCCCCAGCCTGGGGACATTTTTTTCCTCTTCTGAAAATAACAATTACCGTTTATGGAGGGCTTCTTGTGGTCAGGCCCTGGGCGAGTCTTTCCTGTGTTTTATCTCAGTCGTTCTAACCCAGTGGGGGGCCCTCATTATCCCCATTTTATAGAGGAGGCGTAGGAAGGGGAAGCGCCTTCCCCGGGGTCACCCAGGGAGCAAGTGGTGGTGTCAGGGTTTGAGCGCAGGAGTTCTGACTCCAGGTGCCTCATCATTACCTGCGTGCAGTGAGTCTCTAGCAAGGCGCGAGGCTGGCCTGTAATTAAATAAAGAAGTGGGCGAATGCCTGGCCAAGGGCTGGGGCTGAGTTTTTAAGGTTCAGAGAAAGAAGTGCGTCTTTGGCTTCCCACTAGGCCTGGCTCAAACAAACAAACAAACCAACACCCTAAAGCTAGAAGTGCGTTGGGACCTGTAGGTCTCGGTCTGAGGATGAAGCTCACACCCTTCCCTGCTCTCAACAGTTGCTTGAGCGCCCGGTGCGCCTCAGCACAATGTCAGCTGCTCTGCGTTCTGTTCTTTAGAAATGTAGAATTTGGTGCGCTTATTTACATTTAAAATATTTTTTTTTTACCCAGTGTCTAACATCGAGTCTGTTGCATCCCCTGTGACCCACACACGCGTGTGCACTTGACTCAGTCGTGTTTGACTCCCGCTTTTTTAAAAATCAGTTTGAGATGGACAGAGAGAGACGTCAGTTTGTTGTCCCACTTGCCGATGCATTCATTCATTGGTTCGTTCTCGCGTGTGCCCTGACTGGGGATCGGACCGCAGCCTTGGCGAATGGGCACGATGCTCCAGCCAGCCGAGCCACCCGGCCAGGGCCGACTCCCGCTTTTGAAGTGCCGTGTCTGTGGGATTCCACACTGAGTGGGGGAGGGATGAGAGACGACTCGCTCCCCTGGTACTCCGTACAAAGATCGGCACCTTGGAGGGCGCCCCGTACTGGCTGCCTGGAGCTCCTCAGTTGTTACCGCGTTTCTGGTCTTCCCTGTGGGTGTGTGTGTGTGTCTGGGTGGGTGTGTGTGGTCCTCGCCACACATGGATTTCCCTTTATAGCACCCTCTGCAGGGCTTTGCAGAGTCCCGAGTGCTCAGTAAATATTTGTTATCTAGTTAGTTGAGAATATGGGGTCCACCCGTTTCAGACTGATTTTATAGGAGTCAAAGCTAAAGAAAAAAAAAACAACAGAAGGTAGTGTAGTAAAATCACAGGAAAATTACTTAGTATTTGTTAGTATTAAAACCTTGTTTATACAGTGTTAACTAGAGTGATCACCTCATATAACTTGGCACTTCATCCACATTATCGGCTTCTGTGATCCCTTCCTTGTCCAGGCGAGAGGGGAGGTAGCTTCTCTTTTCCTGTGATGAGAGAATGGACACTGGTCTTCGTTGCAAGCCTGTGGTTCCGGTTGAGGTACTATGTGGTTTGCCTGTCGGTGAGCTGGAATTAGCTCTCTTTCAGTCTTCGAGCAACAAATTTTTGTTGAGCACCTTCTGTGTGCCAGGTGCCGTTCTGGGCACTGGTGATACAGCAGCAAATGAAACACAGAAATCCCCGTTCTCTTGGAACTTCCCTTCAAGTAGGGGAGGCAGAGAATAAACGCATTAATAAAATTGATAGTAAGCAATACACAGTAAGAAAAAAAAACAGGAGGGGAGTATTACGTTGTGGGGATGAGTTAGGACAATGTAAATTTTAGGTAGGACAGTCAGGAGACCCTGCTGAGAATGTGGCTTCTGAGTGGAAATCAAAATCTAGAGGGAATGTCGATCCGAGAGGGAAGGGCAAGTGCAGAGGTCCGGAGGTGGAGGCCTGGGAGGGCGCAGATCCCGTAAGGCCATACAGGTTGTGGTCCTAAATAGGTGCTTATTAAAATATTGCAAAAATACTGAAAGGCCCAGAATAATGCCGTGTGGTTCGTGATTTTGATGAAGAAAGATTAACGATAGGGGCACCGAGGCTCCAAGAAATTTTACTGACTTACCTGAAAGGCCACACAGCCCGTGAGTGCAGAGCCGGGAACTGAACCCGCGTGTATGTTACCTGACGTTGGGCAGCGCGGAGCGTGCTGCGGACGTAGCCGGCCTCGCCGCACTTGCCGCCGGGACTCGCTACTGGGCATGCGCTTCGCTATTTGTGTGGAGGGTCTTGGCTCCTCCCTGGGAGCCTCGGGGCTGAAGTTTGCGTCTATAGCTTTTTCCTGCGATTGTGCTCCCAGCAGCAGAGCCTTCCTTTCTGGTCTCAGAAGTCCCCTGGTTCCAAAGATTTGTGTTTCATATCAGCCTTTATGTTGGTCTCCAGGATCACCCTGGCATAGGAATTTTTTAGATACCTGTTTAGGGAGGCTTTAAAGTATTGTAGCGTCGTATATATTGTTAATGTGGGTAGTGTGTTTTCCCCGTGTAGATGGGACTCAGAGAACCCATATGCTTCACATCAGCCTCTGCGTTCCAGTGCGCTTCTAAGGGAAACCATATCGACTGATGGCACCACACAGGAATTTCAAGTAAGAGGGATCTCTTCAGATTTCAATCAGGGAGCAGAAGAGGCCCTTTCTCTCTCTCTTTCTTCTTTTGGTAGCTTGGCAGACTTAATGAACCAACCTTGAATTTGGCCAGGACATCTGGGTTAATATCCTGGCCCTGGCACCGAGTACCAAGGAATCTTGGCCACAGTCAGTAAAGAGCTTTTTTTTTTTTCCCTTCCTAATCTCCATCTGGCACATCCAGAAGGACAGATTCCACTCGCACTAGCTCAATGGGTGGGTCTGTTTTTTAATTGTCCTTGTTATTGTGGTTCAGCAACAAAATCTTTCAAGTACTCTTGGCGGACCGCTGGCACAGGAGGAGTCGGCCTGTTCGCAGGGTCCCCTGGGGAACCTCCCCCGGTATGTCTGTCCCCAGGGAGACAGTTTCTCATCCGCCTCCTCTCGGGAATCCCAGGGAGACCGGAGAGGGACAGCCTGCGGCCCTCGGGTTTCATGGGAGCGGGTCTAATACACTTCCGACTCCAATTAAGTGCGTTCATGTGCGTGTTCTCCTCTGTGTACTCGCGTCTAAGAACAGCTTGGAGTGCGTCCCAGTTGTAGCTCTGCCCGTTTTTTACACTTAACAATCCCGAGTCCTTGATTTGCTGTAGCATCTCTGAAGTTCAGGGCCTGAACACCCAGACGTTCGGGGTGCGCCTGTCATCCAGAATTCAGGTTTGCTGTGTGTAAAGGGCGTGTAAAAGGGGGAAGGCAGCTTTAATGAGCCCCCCACCCCATTCTACAAATCCCTACTCAATCAGTGCTCGGAAATATTTGGAGTATCTTTTTCCTTTCTCAGAAGAGATAAGACATGCTAGGATATTTTCCTAAACATCTTTTTTTTTTAAAGATTTTATTTATTTATTTTTAGGGAGGGAGAAAGAGAAAGAGAGAGAAACATCAATGTGCGGTTGCTGGGGGCCGTGGCCTGCAACCCAGACATGTGCCCTGACTGGGAATCGAACCAGCGATGCTTTGGTTCGCAGCCCGTGCTCAATCCACTGAGCTA